AACCACTGCCACAACCACAGCCTAGGGGGGAGTCATGGAGCCTTTCCCAAGGCTGCACCACCTACTGTCCTTATCACATTTCAAATGCCTTGACTTTTTACACAGCCAGCACCTAAGCTATAGCTTCCTGTTCATTGAGTAACACCCAAACATATGGAACATCAATATTGTTACCTAACAGCAATACTGATAGTCTGATACCAATACACGTGGAACACCAAGAGCTAATGTAATTGGTTCTGTTCACTTCTGCACACTCCATAAGAATATCCCATTTGCACTTAGCTCAAACAGGGCATATCAGGATCACTGGTGAGCTCCCCAAATGCATCCTTTTAAAATTCCATGCTGTTCATGCACCACACGGCACTTACACAGAGAATCTGATCAAGAGCAGAGATTTCTAACACTGAAATTGTGATTGCCTGCTCAAATGAACACGGGGCTAAACTACTGGAGGGAACAGCTGGAGCTGTACCAGGGCAGGGTTAGGGTGGGTTTTGGGAAAAGGTTCTTCACCCAGAGGGTGCTGGGGCACTGAACAGTCTCCTCAACAGGGATTTGGGCCTGAGAGAGCTCAAGGAGCATTTGGACAATGCTCTCAGCCCAGGGTGGGATTGTTGAGGTGTCCTGTACAGGGCCAGGGGTAGGACTCAATGATCCTTATGGGTTCCTGCCAACCCAGCTGATTTTACTCAAATAGAGGGCTGGCAGGGAAGTGTCATTTCTGCCCTGCAGCTTTCCCAAAGCCCTCCAGGGAGCTGTGCAGGTATGAGCTGCTTGCCCTGGGGCCAGGCCACCAAGGTGTGGGGCAGCAGGACCCTCTGGTGACATCTGCTCCTCACTATTCAGGGGTACCTGGGACTACCCAAAAAGCCCCAGGAAGACTAATTTTCTAACCTTTACAAAATGGTGTTGCCAGTCTTAAGACCACTTGTTGAAATGGAAGATTCTGCATGTCCTTGCAAGGATCTCACCTGATCTTGACTGTCTCTCAATTGAAGGTTCAAAAAAACCAAACAAAACACCACGGCTTGATGTCTTCCTCATATTTCTGTGCCTATGCAATGAATGGAGAAGTAAGATTTACTTGCACCAGACAGCAGAGCAGCAAAGCCCCAGCAGCAGGAACTGCACAGCCAGCCAGCCCTCCCTGCTGCAGAACACAGCCTGCCAGGCATGTGGGAGCTGTAACCTGCCTCCCAGCTCAAAAACACCTGCAGCAATCTGAAGCCCATTCTTCTTTTTTTTTTACTTTTCTGAATCTTCATCCACACCCTTCAGGATGGCCTGTGGCCTCCTCACTTTGTCATGGCAGTTGCATAATTCCCCAACACTGTTCTGCTCGATGCCTTCCTCCCCGCTCTGCCACAGCCCTTGAGCCCAGCACAGGAGACACTGGGGAGCAGCACCTATTGAAGGATGGCTTCAGGAATGAGAGGTGACCACCAACCCACAACCCCTGAGCTCTGAGGCAGGACAGAAGATGGAATTCCACAATAGAGAAGAAAGCTCTGGTATCTCGCTTTCCAAAATAACATAGGAGAATCATTCTCAGCACCCTGACAAGAAAAGTTTCCCAACACCTTTTTTTTTTTGTAGGCCATCTTTTAGGTCTTCTTTAACTCAAAGGAGCACTTTATACTTCATAGCTTTTAGTTTTCAGAAAGCAGCTACATAAACCCCTCATCAATACTTAAAATGAAAGGGATGGCAGAATTTGGCTGTGTAAAGCTTCTGGAAAGGGCAAAGAGACAAAAGGACAGATGCAAGCAGTGAAACTGATACAGCTCCATGCCACCAACAGCTTCCAAACAGTAGTTTCCTGTTACTGCGTTTCTGCAGGAAGCCATGCAGGCTCTTGTGTGCTGGGGTATAAAATTTAAGACTAAACACTGTTCTAACCCTCACAGCTCAAGAGAGTACCGGCACATGGCTAGAAAAGGAGCTGCCCTTTGGTGGCACATCTGAGGAGACCATGAGAACACAGAAGGCAAAACCACCTGATCAGGAAGTGAGAAAACTCTGATATTTCACTGTATCACTGTTAGCTACAAGGAAAGATGGTCTAACAGTAGACTACAGTGGATTGAAGGGACCTCTGCTTCTTTTGCTGCTCTGGAAGAGGTTTCTTACAGACCAAGGAGCAGGTCACTCAGAACTGAAGCAGAAAGTGTCATCTCTGATTTGAAACTATACTGAAGTCAATGTCTAAATTTCTTCAAGGATCTCAGGGGTTGTTTTTCTGTCTCACAACTTACCTCCTATGAGTCTTGACAAAGTACTTTCCTATCTGACAGTGCAACTGCAAGGTTAAACTTATTAAATATTGGGAGACATTAACCTTGCATAGACAGGAGGTGTTATGAAATTATACAAAGCAGATTGTGAATATTTTCCTTTCTAGGAGAAAAACTGAAATAAACATGACTTAATCCTTCGCTAATAGGGGAGTGGTTGGCTCACAATGCCATAATCTGAAGTTCCAGCAGACCTCATTTAAACTGTTGGGTGGAGTTTCCAGCCACCGTTTAAGATAATTATTAAAGTCAGTGAAGACAGGAAAAAACGAGTTACAAGAAATGAGGTGGTAGCGTCACCTGTTTCCCAGTGAAAACACCACCCAAAAGATCATCTGTGTTCTGGAACCTGAACAACCCAGCAACTTGAGGTGTTTTAGTGTTCTTTTGATTAGGAGTAAATCACACTCCCCTGATGAGAGCAGAGAAAGGAACCACAAATCCAGAAGACACAGTCCAAGTTTTTGACAAACCTGGGAAGCAGAACCCTTAGGGAGCTGAGTAACAGCACAGCTATGCTGATTTACTGGGGGGCTGCCAGTAGAGACGAGAGGGTTGTCCCCAGTCTCTCCTGCCATCACATACTGTAACTTGATCCAAACCACCAGGGCACGAACAGCAAGGCACATCCAGCACATGGATATCCTGCTCCCCTGGTTTCACCTCTACACAGGCAACAGGCATGGTTTCTCATGGTGACTGTGACTGGCACAAATGTTTCTCTCTATTCTAGAGACCAAATGAAATGAAAGCAAGATGGAAGAATCACTCATAAGCACCTTGTGCCAAAATATCTGCTGACAACAAAGCCAAGGTGAGGGCTGATTGCTGCTAAAGGAAGTGGCCCCACTCCCTCCATCCTCAGGCTCTTCCTTGGTGCTTCTCTGAACCTGCCTTGACCAGCCTTGCTAAAGCTAAACCAGCAAAAGGCTGCTTCTGCTGAAGGTTTGAATGTTCTTCCTTGTGGCACAGACACCGGTTAGACAGACACAAATACTGGCACAAAAAAAGTTCTACAGCAGGCATCCAGGAGGCTGCATCCTTCTGGTGTCACTGAACTTCAGTGCATGGTAACTTGGCACAGTGATGCCCCCGAACAGCAAAAACTTCATTAGAGCCATAGAGCTTGGATGGAGAGAGCAAATGCCCCGAGAGTCAGTAGAAATCCCATAGGAAGGAAACCTTGAGGCACAGGGAGAGCTGCTCCCTGAACTGCACACCCAAAGCTGACCCTGGCAGGCAGACTGCTTTTTACTCAACTCCATACACTCCTGCCCTCGAGGGGAATGGCCATTTGTGTGTTGTCAAACAGGGCACATGAACAAGAGAAGGGCATTCACCAGTCAGTGTTTCCTCCTACAGAGCCACTGACTCGAGATGCTGCTGGGATTGCTACAAAATCGAAATACAGAGGTATTTGAGTTTCTTGAGATTTCCTCTTCTGGCTTCCCTTGCAACAAGCCCCATGGATAATAGGGGAATAACATGAATCCCACACAAAACCACCGGTTGCTTCAGAGTTAAGAAACATCCAGCCTATTCTGAGAAACCTCTCACGCATTAGAAGGCAACATGTTCACTTAACCAGGATGGTTCATTTTTAGCCAGAGCTTCTAAACTCGTCTTCTTTCAGCAGCATTAATAGGTTTTAGGTTACTACAGTTACAAGAGTTCTGTATATATATATATTTTTTTTTTTTTTGGTACCTCTTTAGTAGGTGCTCTCTTCTCTCTCTCCTACAGTTCTATTGTGAATCTCCATCTTTCTTCCTCAGACCTTAGCCCTGTCCAGACTCCGACGTTTTCCAGAGCACGTCTGCCCGGGAGCACGGCAGCCAACTGCACCCTCCCCGCTCCCAGTTCTGATGTCTTTCCACCATCCCAGCCAAGCCAGACCTCTTAGTCACCGCTGGCAGAGCGGAATTCCGCCTTTCTCCCAGCTGACCCCTTCCTCTTCGTCCTCCCAGAGCTTCCAGGGTCCCAGCGGTGCTCCTGGGGCAGGATGGAGCCCCTGCAGCGGCGGCACAGGCGGGCACGGCCGCCCTCACTCGCCCCTTCCCCGCTGCCCCGGACAAACCCCGCAGGGCTGCGGGAGACCCGTGAGGGGCCGCCCTCACACCCCACGGCCGAAAAGCCGCCGCCCCTCCCTGAGGGAGCGCTGAGAGCTGCCCCGCAGCCCGCACGGAGCCGGCCCGGCGCTGCCGGGGTCCCGCTGCCGCTCCGACCCGCACCTCCCCGGTACAAAAACAACCTTTTCCCCGAGCGGGCCATGAGAGCCAAACCGCCTAGCCCTGCTCCAGCCCTGCTCCAGCCCTGCTCCAGCCCAGCCCCGCATCCCCCGGCTCACCTCGGCCGAGAGCGCGGCTCCGTCCCGCAGCCCCGGCGCCGCCCCCGCCGCCGGACCGGACCGGGATGCCCTTCCCGGGGCCGCCCCTCAGGTCAGCTCAGGTCGGGGAGACTCCCCGGGAAGGACCCGTCCCCTCCCTGAGCCCCGCCGGCGCTCCGCGGAACGACCGCACCCCCGGCACCGCCGCTTTCGGCCGGGCGCTCCGGGGTTTTAAATTCCCACTGTGCCACTTAAAATTGTCACAAGGAATTTTTTTTTTTTTTTTTCCCATCTCGCTCTCTCCTTTCTCACTTGCGGGAGTTTGTGCTGTACCCCTTGGCCAGGTAACCCGAGCCGTCCCCTCGCAGCTGTACCTGTGTTGTCTCGCTCGAGTGGCGATGCGTGGCAGCGTGACCCACCCTGGCCAGAGACATCCCGACATCAGGAGCCGCTAATTACGGGCAGGAGGAGGAGGAGGAGGAGGAGGGGAAGGCGGAAACTTCCCACACCTGTTGACGCCAAGGGAGATCCTACACTAAATATAGGAAACTGAAGGTTGTACTTAAAAAAAAAAAAAAAAAAAAAAAAAAAAAAAAAAAAAAAAAAAGGCAGCCCGTATCTGAACTGCTGACGTGTAGCAAAGCAAGTTTCAAACATACCCTCAAGCAGGAGGAACTTTTCTGTTAAATTCCTGACAATGATTGCTTAACAAGTTCTTAATGAGTATGAACAAAGAAGGAAAATTTGGGCTTTCATTTAGAAAAGCACCACTGACTGCTAGGCTGCTGTAGGGTGGAGTAAATTGCATTGGAATTCACCAGAGATTTTGCGAAGCAGCTTAGGTGATACAACCAAGAATGGTTTAGACAGAGATGTTCCTACCTGGAGCAAGAGTTAAACACGAGTTCTTTAGAGATGCCTTCCAGCCCCGTGTTTTGATTCCCATGTGTTACTAAGGTGTTACAAATGTTGTACCTGTGACAAACCTTTCCACCACAGAAATACTGACATTGCTGCAAACAAAAACGCTTTCTCCGTAATCTGTCCCCACCAATAATACATTATTTATTTTATCAGAACAGGTCTTAAATTTTAAGTTAAAGGAGATTTCAAGATATTTTTGTGTGTGCAGCTGAGCAGAATTTAAATTAATGAGAGAGTTGCTGCTGCTGAAGGTGTCAGTGCTCATCCATCCTCCTTGGAGCATCCTGCGGGGGTTCGTAGGGCAAGCACAGCACCTGCAGCACCGCCACACGCAGACACCCCGCGGGGAGGTGACAAGGTGGAGAAGGAGGGTCTGGAGCTCAGATCTCTCTCCATAAGAGTTCCAGAGCCAGCATTTATGTCCCCTGGGGTTACTACAGCAGGGATGGTAAAATCTTAGTTTCTGGACATGGAGATGTAGCCAACCAGCAGGATCCAGATCACACGTGTGTCTCCAGGTTGTTTTACCATCAGTTCCTGAAACTTGAAGCGGGAGCAGTACTCACAGGTCTGGGCTGGGGTACGCGGGGTCTCAGCGAGCCAAGTCGGGGTCTGGGAAGCAAATAATCTACTCCAAGTCCCCGTGGAGAGCACAGCAAGGTGTAAATCACTCTCCAAAGCATCCGGCACAGCAGTGGCATCATCACCTCCGAGCTAGTTTGACAGCTGCAAATCGCCTGAATAAAATAGTTTTCAAGCTTTTGGTCCGGATTTTGTTTGATGAGCAGTTTCCTATGTCGTCTGTCAGCCGGTGAGCGGCTGGGGACACGGCAGGGCAGCGGGGACGTGCCAAGGGCTGCCTGCACACAGCTCAGGGGGTCTCTTCTGACTTTGCTTTTAGCCAAACAGAAATTTTTCCTCCCTTTGGAAAATGAGATCAAACCCTCTTGTGATGCTGCCAGCAGCCCTTCTCTGGTGTTCTCCTGCCAGGAGCCAGATTGCAGAGCGAGACCCTTAAAACCCCTGCATTTTTTTGTGCCGTGGTATTCCCTATCAGTCTCAATGGGATGGACACTGGAGTATGTTCCCATTCCCAGTTGTTTTTTTTTTTTTTTTAATCAAGTTTCTGTGAGAGGAAAGAAGAATAAAACCAGTGAGAAGCTTTGCTTGCAGACACTCACACCTTGGAATGAAGTTCCCAAGCCTCTAATAAGAGCTTTTCTTTAAAAAAAATGAAGTTGGCAGAAACAGAGAAAGCCTTTTAGAGGCATTAGGACATTATAATATTTATTGTTCAGTGTACACCAACCCTGGTTTATGCACTCTGATACATTTTGCCAGTTGAGTCAGGCATGATAATAAACATCATGTCCAGCAAGTGGATTAATAATGGAGATGTGATATGACAGAAATTGGAGCACTGAAGGAAATTGGAACAGCGTGGTACCTTCAGAGAGAAGGCAGGATGGCTGTTACATAATTTAAACCCGAAGTGAGGTGTTTTACCACAGACAAAAGGCCAGCAGACCCCTGCTCTGCACAATAATGGCCTAGCTGCAGCTTTCTCCCCGGTCCAAGAATCCCTAAGAGCAACTCCCCTGTAACTACAGCTGGCAGCAGGGAGACATGGAAACATTTGAGTATATGGAAATTAAGTACTTGTTTGTCCCTTTTTGCAGGAGCCTGAGATTGCAAAAGCTTTCCCTGGCCCAAACCCAAAGTTAGAGAGTACTGAATTAATCATTACCACCAAATTGGTTGGATCATATTGTAAAGTGTCATGCTGATTGTATCAAATAATTTTAATTTATATCACATTTAAATAGATTTAACCATATTCAAATGCCATTTCAAAAGGAGTATTTGTTTTGAGTTGGAGGGGAAAATGTTTGTGTAGAAAGTGTCAAATTTGTAACATTTTTGTGTATTTTTAATTCACCTCACCATACTTCCTTTTATTTTCAATACTCATTAAAAGTCATTTCTTCCTGCCAGAGCCCCAGTTTGAAAGAAATGCCAGAAAGCCCTGAATCACTGGAAAATCCCAAAGTAACTCCACCAATTACAGCAATGGATGAATTTCATAGCTACAAGTAAGAGCCCAGACCTGTAACGCTGCGGTCAGTAAGCACTGCCAGTTCCTATAAATCAGGTGGCTCTGATTCGGGTACCGAGATCAAGTTACAGACACCCAGTGTTTGACTGCCCCCACCTCTCTGTTTACATTTATTTGTAAACATTTATTTCTTGTCAGACTGATGCTACCATTCACACCATAAAGTGGAGTTTTCCTGAAGGCAGGGAAGCAGCTGCAGCATGTGAGACAAAAAACTCTGTGCTTCACACTTAAACCACTGTGGGGTGTGGAGGTAAATAAGGCAGTGAGAACCCCCTAAATCCAACTGGCCACTGTGTTCCAACATAAATAAAGGTCTTCGTAAGCCTTTTGTTCCTCCTTGGTCCTTAAAGATATTTGCTGTATTGCAGCAGTTCATGGCTCTTCAGATGTGAATCACTCTACTCAGAGGCTATTTGGAAGTAAAATACATTTAGGACTATAAACAGATGCTAAAGTCCATTTCCAGAAAACGTGCCTGGCTTATTATTGATGCAGGGCTGCTCCTCCGAGGTGCTAATGCAAGAAAGAAGATGGTCTAGTCTGAGTGCTGGAGGTTTGCTGAGTTGGACGTTTTCATTTAAATGTTTCCTCTTGAAAGAGGTGAATCATTTTGATATGAAACCTGTACCAGTCTGAAAGCAGCATGTGACTGAGATTTCCGAGTCACCAAAACTAGCCTGTGAAACAAACAAAAAAATCTTCAGGTGGAGGAATAGGCGTGGGTACATTGTGTGCTCATCAGCCGGATCACAACAATCATTGAACAGAGGTTTTTTCTGACTTTGTGTGGTGCAAGGCGTTTCGTGTTTGTCTGGCTGAATTCCAGCAGACCTGCCTGGTTTTCTTGTTGGTAGCATCCCTCCTTAGTCCCACTTAGTCCACTCTGGTCTGCCTGGACAGAGCTCCAGACTCCTGAGCCAGAGCCCAAATCTCAAGGATTAGCAGATGCTTAAGCACTGACCTTGCCAGGTGCTAGAGGTGCCCTATGAGCCAAAAATCCCACAACACTTATGTAAAGCAGAAACTACTCATCCCCAGGGAAATTTATTCCACTATGGGATGGGGCATACAACAAACTCACCAAAACACCAGGGAAAAACAGATCCACGGAAGATTTTCACTCCCCCTGAGACAACCAATGCCAGCATACAGCACTTACCGAGTTTAGAGTATTTAACCGGTGAAATAGAGTCCTTTTGTTCACATTCAGAACTGCCGGTGTTTACTGAGGTTTCCCGGGTTTCCACCAGGCTGTGGGTGGCTGAGTTAATTACGGAACATTTTCTGCAGCTCATCCTCTCCTTAAAGCTTAATGGTCTTTCAACAGCCCTAGCGTCCTTCCTGGCCATTGTGTCAGGTTAAGTGTTGTTTGATCTCCATTTGAAAAGCAGAATTAGTAGCAGGGGTGTAATATTTGCCGTGTTACCTCTAATCATTCATCCTTGGCCAGCCCGGGGCTGATAAGGAAGGAGAAGCGGGCAGGAAAACCGGAGCGGTTTTCTGTAGTAGCCATGGAGTCGGTAAACACGGCAGGGCTCTTAGCCCTGAGCGGGGCTGAGGTGTGTGCTCACCTGCCAGCAGCCAGGGCTGCCCTAAACCCACAGCAGCAGGTAAAACACCCTCGTCTACAGCAGCACGGTAGGATTAGGGATCAATCACACTGCCATGAGCGGGGAGTGCAGACAGGCGCTCAATTTTCCCGTCTGAAGAGCCTGGAGGGGATGCAGCCTTCGGGCTGGTGATGGAGACTCCTGCAGAGGGGACCTGTGGCTGTGCCCTGCCCTGTGGCACTGCAGTGACCATGTTTTCCCTGAAGCTGCCTGTTACAGTGAGCTCATGGACATTCTGTTTCTCCTTCCCCGGGACCCTGTGACTCTGATCAAGATAACCCTGGATCCCTCCTTTCTGCCCCAACGGGGTTGGCAGAGAGTCAGGGAAGCCCACCCTGTCTAAAGTCTATATAGACCCCTGAGATTTCCTGTTCGTTCTCTTTTGCCCCGCTCTCCACAAGGACATCACAAAATAAAGAGAGCTGAACCAACTTATCTCGGGGTAAGAGCCTCTTTTGGAAATCTTTACCATCTCCTGATATTCCTCCCCTCACAGCCTCTGACCTCTGAGCTAGCCTGATTATTCGGGGGGCTGTGTGAGGAGGGAACGTCAGCAGCCCACCACAGAAGGCTCCTCCGAGAGCTGCGGCAGTCGGGAGCCTCCATCAGCGTTCCACAGTTTTGCTTTCCCCAGCTCCAGCCAGAAAATAACAGCCAATCTGGAGTAGGTGAACCAAAATAAAACGGAGCTGAAATGAAGTGCAGCTAAAGGCAGCAGAGCTGTGCAGCGTGGTAGTGGTGTTTCGGGGGTGGTCAGTGGGATACGCCACTCTCGTGAGTGTCGTGCACAGGTGAAGGCCAGAGGATCTTTGCCAAGCTGTGGTTTCCATTTCCAAGGGAAGCACAGGAACCCACGCCCCTCCCCAGGTTTCCATCTAATGACTCTAAGGTGGCAAATGCCAGGATGAGCAGGGGCCACAGCTCTGATTTTGTCTCTGATGCAGCACCTGGCCCTGGGAGCAGCAACAGTGGGGACTTCCCTGCAATGCATCAGCACTGCCAGCCCAGATCTCCCCCCTGGAGCCATCCCTTGCTGAGGACAGTGCCCCTGTGCCAGCCTCTTTCCAGCCCTGGTAATCTGTGAGTAGAGGCACCTAAGAAATGCAGCTCCATCTCCTTCCAGAGTGGCTGAGCTGGGAATACTCCTGGTGTGGATAGCAGGCAGCTGCAATGGCCAGGCTGGTCTCTCTCGGTGCATCCTCCCCCTGTCCTCCCTGCTCCCTAAACACTTCCAGGGCTGCTCTTCTCCAACCAGAAACACCACAGGCATGGGCCAAGCCTCTCCTGTGTTTTACAGCCCTTCTGCTCTGCTCAGCTCCATGGCCAGCGCTGTGGCCAGGCACTGCTTGCTGCCCAGGGCTGGTGCTCCTGCCCAGGGCACAGCCACCCCACTGCTCCCACAGCTAGAAATGGCCCTGCCAGCACCCCTGGGGAGGGAGAACCATCCAAAAACCATGAGAGAACTGGGATAAAAAATGGCACAGAGACCTGCAGGGAAGTGAGGCTTTGCTGAGGGCAGGGCACAGGGTCTGGGAGCTGCCCCCAGCAGCTGCCCTCACACACAGGTTACCTACTGCCAGCCCCTTCTCTTCACCCTGCAAGGAGCTGCAGACCCCTGGGAAGCAGCTCCCAAAAGAGCAGGGAATTAAATCAAACAGGAACTGACCTGGGGCAGCCTCTCAGCATGCCAGGCTGTGAACCATGACAGCTCCAAAGGGGCTTCCCAGTGCTCTCCATGAAGTGGCTGCCAGCATGTCTGAAGCAGGAGCCAGTGCTCTCAGCTGTCATGGTCACTGAGCCCACAGTGGCCTTATGTGCTCACTAATCTGTAAAAATAACAATGGAGACCCCTCCTGGGGCCTTGAGGACACCTGAGACAAATCAGGCACAGGGGCATCTTCGTGTCCCAGCTCTTAGCTTCCAAATTTTGGACATTAAGGATTTCTCTCAGGCTGATGGCTCAGTGCTGGATGCAGGTTTGTGTCCCACCTGGAGGTCTAGAGTGTGAGCTCAGCCACCCAGAGGCATCTACTTGTTTCCCCTTATTGGCTGACCTTCTGGTTTTCCCCCAATGAATCAACAGGATTATTACAGTACAAAAGAATATGTGCTTGGATTTGCACAGAGTTTTGGATAATCTGGCCAGGGTTTGGCTTGTGTGCCCTGAGTTCCTGTGGTTAGCACAAAGCTGCTGCACACCTGCACAGTGCACCTGGCTAATTCTGCTTGTTCTTTTCCAGTCCAGAACCCAGCTCTCCTCCCTGCTCCAACAGGATTCTCTGGGATAACACCACCCACAGGAGTCTCCTCAGGGTGTTGATCCAGCTGCTCTGTACCCCGCTGACCCCTGCAAGAGCACCTCCTCAGTATCCCTGTGTGTCCAGAGGGTATCCCAGGTGCAGGGACAGAACATCTCATTGCACACATCTTGGTCCTGCACAGGACACTGCCCCTCAGGCCTTCCTACAGCTCCCAGCTCTGCAGCTCCAGCTGTCCCCTCTGTCCCACCCTGCAGGAATGTCACGGGGTGTTGGAACTCAAAATGTCCCTCAGACATTTTTGGAGGTTCCAGGCCCTGGTCAGAAGCATTTGAGACCCTTTCAGGCAGCTGAAAACAGCTGTGATTTTGAGTTTGAGCCATGGAATGGTTTACCAACTTTGAAGGAAGAACAAGAAGTCACAAAAGTTTAGATATTGTAGTAGAAGTAGTCACAAAGTAGAGGGAAGAATTTTTTAGTGTTGTACGCGGGGGGGGGGGGGTTGTTAATACTTGTACAGGGGGTTTTTTACTTTGTACATGGGGGTCAGAGGTTTTAAGATGGAGGAATGTAGGCCGGTCCTGTCCTTCCTCTTTCTTCTTCCTTACCTCCATGTTCTTGGTGATGTTGGCACTCACAGATTGGCTTAGAGTAGAAAAGCACCGTTTAATATAGGTAGTAGGTATTGGGGAAAAATTGTAAACATTTATCACGTAATGTACATATAAAAGATAGCAGCAGCCCTGGGCTGGGGGAGAGAGAAGAAGAAGTCAGGGGACAGAGAGGATGTCAGGGTGTGTGTGCCTCTGCCTGAGCTGTGAGCAAACCACAGCAGCCAGAGAAGAAAATCTTTTAGATAACTTGCAATAAACTGCCTTGAGACCGAGCAACAAGAGACTGCTGAGTTTTTCTTTGGAAGCACGGGTTGGAGGAGGGAATTTTCCACCACACAAAGCCCCTGAACCAGGCCTGGGTTCTGTCAAGGAGGCTCCTGGGGAATGCAGCCAAGGAGTTCCATGGCACGCCCCAGGTGATCCTGCCTGTCCTGCCACAGGAGGCAAATCACTTCACCTGCACAACCTAATGGCAGCTAATCGTGGCATGGTCCACTGGCTGCCTGGTCAGGCTGCCCCTTCCAAAGGCCTTGGAAAAACACTGTGTGTTTGGAACAGCAATGGTGACTTCAAATGCCTGCCTTGCACAGCTCTTGGTGGTGAAACAAGTGTGAGAAATTAAAAAAAAAAAACAAAACAAACAACCCAACCCAAAAAGAACCCAACATAATAAGGAGCAGCAGCAAAGTTTTCAATTTCCTAATCCTCAAATCCCTCCCCCTCTTAAAAGAAAAAGCATTTTTTGTGGAGAAAAATTAAGGAAAGGCTGAGGGGCAAAAAAGCAGAAAAGAACCACTGATTCCTGTGTGCCTGAGAGTTTTCTTTCAGGATATGGATTTTGAGGGGTGTTGTGTCTCAACCTGGGAATCACAACAAAATACAGGGAATTGGCTCTTCCTGCTTTGTCCTGAGAGCAGGGAGAGACATGGAATTATTTTAAGACCACTTGCACAATGATGTGTGGGCCTGCAGATCCCGTTTTCTTCCCTCTCCTAATGATGCCAGGGGATCACCTCACCCAGGAATATGAGACCATCTGGAAAACATCATCCAGTGCATTATTCCCCGTGCCAGAGGGATATTTATAGATAAAGTAAATAATGTTGTCACAATCCAAACAAATAAGGATTGTGACAACATTATTCAAAATATATTATTCAAATAAGGAGAGGCTGCAAGGTAGTGGAGTGTCTCCTCCCCTATCTCTGTGCATTGCTTTGCCCCAGGAGGGGCCAGCTGGGATCTTTTAAGTCCCTTCCAACCCAAACCATTCTATGATTCCATGATCCTTCCAAATTCAGACAGTTTTGGAGAGCAGGTGGGAGCAATCCAACCAGTCCCTCACAGGACCAGAGTCCCTCTAAGCCCCTTGCCCAAATCTGTTCCATAAAACCATGTAATGCTCAAAAGGCTGTATATTTTTGAATCAAAATAGGCTCATTTCAAAGGAGTGTCTCGCAAGAGAGACTTGTTCAGCTTCCCCTCAGCTGAGCAGTTCAGGTTGTAATTCACTGTTTGGACCTAACCCACTGAACAAAATACTGCCTTTGCCTTTAAAAGGAAAATTCATTGAGCAAGTTCAGGCCAGTTCTCATTACAGGCTTCCTAAATTTATTAATGGAAAATTAAATATTCTCTTTAGATAGGCAAATAGGTACATATCTGTGTCTCCAACGTAGTTTCAGTCTCTCAGTTTGTAAACTAATGGATATAATTCCCTTTGCAGCACTACCTAGCATGGCTCCAGGCTGTGATGTTATTATGGTCATGGAAACGAAATGAAAAGCACGTGGCTGACCTTTCCCAGCTCAGGTCTGTCTTCCCAAAGGAAGTGTGTAGAATACCAACCACCTGGTTTATCCTGTATTTCCTTCCCATTGGAGGTTTATCTCATCATTCCCAGGAGTGTAGGAAATCCTGTTTCAGCGCAGCCTCTTCTCATCCACTGGACCTGTGCTGGAATCACAGAACAGAATATTCCCAGCTGGAAGGGACGCATCTGGATCATCAAGTCGAGTTGAGGGAGGAAAGTATTGGATTTGGGGCTCTTGGGATGTGGCCCTTTGCAAATGATAGAGAAACAGTGATGAACCCCATGCTGGGGGACATAAAGCAGGTAGCAGAGAGGAGAGGTGGGAGAAATGTTCCCTGACAGTTCTGGAGTTTAAGCAGGCATCAGAGTTCTGTAATATGGATGTTTGTCCTCATGTTTGTGTTTCGGTTTGGGTTTTTTGTGCCCTGTATTCCGTACTGCTCTTCCAGAGCAGGGCAGTATCTTCAACTGGAGAATAACAAAACAGTTGTCATTAGTTCATCTTCTAAAACCAGGCCTGCATCTTTCATGTGCTTTGGGCTGACTGTTCAGATGCAGCAGTTTGTGGACCGAAAGAATGAGGATGTTGGAATCAAGAAGAAAGGATTTACTCCTTGGTGTTCAGTTGTCTGCAGTTAGGGAGGGGAGAAGCAATTATGAACAATTCCAGTGCCTGACCAGTGCACAAAGCCAGTCCATCCTCCTGGGATCCACATTCTGTTCTGTTGTAGCTAGATGTCAGATTCAAAAAGCTGGAGTCTTTGTTCTTTTTGGCAAAACATTGGACTTTCCATCCAGCATCTTGTATTTCTGCTGGGTGACAAAATGACAGAAAATTCTTTCTGCAGGATCTTGTATGAAGTTCCATCTTCTCCTTCTCTGCAAATGATCTTGGTTCAGGCTCAATGTATGGATGCAGGAAGATGCAGGGGAGCAGGGAAGAGCTGGCACTGTGTGTCCAGTGCTTGTCCTGCTGTTGTCTCCTGTTGGAACTCAAAATGTCCCTCAGACATTTTTGGAGGTTCCAGGCCCCAGTCAAAAGCATTTAAGACCCTAGCAGGCAGCTGAAAACAGCTGTAATTTTAAGTCATAGAATGATTTACCAACTTTACAAGAAGAACAAAAAGTCACAAAAGTTTAAATATTATAATAAAAATAGTTACAAAGTAGAAGAAAGGATTTTTTAGTATTATACAACGAAGTTTTAACACCTATACTGGAGGGTTTTTACTTTATACATAAGAGTCAAAAGTTTTAAAATACAGAAATTTTTAGCTAGTCCTGTCCTTCCTCTTCTTCCTTACCTCCATGGTTTTAATAATGTTAACACTTACAAATTAGTTTAAATTAAAAAAACATCATTTAATATAAATAATAAATATTAAAGAAAAACTATAAACATTTATCACATAATATACCATATAAAAAATAACAACCAAAAGCAAGGAAAAAAAAAATCAAAAAACAAAAAAAGTGTCGAAAGTGTGTATACCTCTACCAAAACTACTAACCAAACCACAATAACCAAAAAAAAAAATCTTTTAAATAACTTATAATGAACTATCTATCTTAAAACCAAACAACAAAAAACTACTAAGTTTTTCTTTAAAAACACAAATTAAAAAAAAAAAAACTTTTCCACCACACAAAACCCCTAAACCAAGCCTAAATTCCATCAGTCTCCTTAAAAAGAGAGCCTCAGATCAGATCCCAAGCACTTCCAGGATGTGCTTGGCACACATTCAAACATTTTGCTGTCTGCTCAGAATGCCAATTTTCTCTCTTCTCTCTCTGAAGCTTTCAGTCCTGAAATGGAGCACCTTCCCTACAACCAGCATGGAACACACCTGTAGCTCCAGTCACCTTTCTCCTAGGGAACCAGGGTGTGGCCATGGCATTTGTGTGCTGCAGTCTCACTGCCTTGCCAGATTTTAGGCCCTGGAGGCTCCTTCCGCATTCCCTAAATGGATGGAAAAGCAAAAACTCATGTATTGATGATTAAACACAGCTTTCTGATACTATGTAAATAATTTTGATTCTTAGTCTGTGAGTTACAGGCATTTCTAAAAAACTTCAGACTTTCTTTCCAGCAATCCTATCCATCTGAAAGCAGGTGCATTTAAAAACAGGTCTTCTGTGTGGTAGCTACATAAAAATTAAAACCAGTGTGTTCTGCCTTATGTAGCTTTTTTTTTTTTTTTTTTTTTTTTTTTTTTTTTTTTTTTTTTTTTTTTTTTTTTTTCCCACAAGTTCTTCAAACCAGGTAACAAAAGTGGTTTAGTTCTATTCAGTCAGGTTCAGTGTGATTTTTAAAATCCTGTTGCAGAGCTGCAGTGTTTCGGGCTGCATGGTATCAAGAAATACTTTATTAGACAGGAGTGCTCTTTGGAACTTCAGTCATTGGAATGTTCTTCTTTTAACAGCTTGTTTCTCTGAAATGTAAACTTCTACAACAGGGATTTAGCATGCTTAATTTGTTCAGCATATGAAACATAGGTACCAGCTCAGTCAATAAACAACTCTTTTTCACTGTAATTTTTTCCACCTTCTTGAATCTTACTGCATTTTAGTCATTAATTCCAGGTAATTCTTCTTTTTAAACAAACAAACAAATAGCAGGCAAAACTGCATTTCCTATGGGGCACATTTAGAATGTATCCATATTATCAGAGTTGTAGGAGTGTGTCAATTTCTACAGAAGATCCAGCTTTTGCCTCAAGATCACATGGATTTACTTGAATGATGCAGAGTAAATTTTCTTTCTGAATCATTAAAAAAAAAAATTTAAGTGACGTCTTGTGAAGCTAGATTAGCCCAGAGTGAGACACCAGGCTGCAGTTCACAGGACAGCCATAATACATGGGAATCACCAGGGTGTGTTTCACAGCTGGAGCAGGGAGAGGCTCACATCTTTATCTTTCCTTCTTCCTTCCTCTCTTCCTCTTCTTTTTCCTTTGTCCTGCACCGTGACGGTATTTCTTTGTCCATCTGTTCTGGTTTGAAAACAAAACCAGTGAGACACTCCAAGTCAGAAATACAATTTATTAGGAAAAGTGAAAAAGAAAACAAAATGCATGCAATAATACAAAAGAAAAACCACTGACAGACCCTTTTTGGTTAGGGTGTTGGTAGCAGTCCAAATTGGAATGGCTGCAGTCCTCCTGGAAATCCAGCAGAAAAACTGAGTCTGGTGTCCCAAAACCCCAGATTATATCAGGTAGGAATGCTTGGCTCCTCCCTCTGGACCCAGCATCTCACACTGGGATGCTGTAACTTTTATCAGTCATGTAGTGACATTCAATAGCCCATTATCAGCAGATGTCTCCTTGGAGGGAGAACTGGTTATGAAAGAGATAAGGAAAACTGCCCACTTAACAGAAGACATCTGCCATGGAATATGTCTGGGACACCATCTCACTGTCCTTTTGCCTGTACCTGTCTGCATCTGCTGCTCAGTCCTTCTCCCTCGCTGTATTCTTCTCTTCATAACCCTCTGTCCTGCTGCCCATCCCTCACTTTCTCCATTCCTCTGCTGCACCTTCCCCCCACACCCACCTGCTGTGGTGATTTTCTCTCTCTGTCCTTGCTTCCCTCTTTGTATCCTTCTGTCCTTCCCGTGTGTTTACCTCTCTTTTTATTTGTCCTTCTCGTGTTCCTTTTTATTCCCTGTTGCTCCCTGTGCCATTGTTTCTCACTGGATCCTTCTGTCCCTATTCCTTTTTAATTCTTCTCTGTCGTGCTGCCCATCCCAGTTGTTTTTATTTCATCTCCATCCCGCACCCTGCCCCCAAGCCATGGGACAGCCACCAGCCTGTGACAGTGACCCCACGCTTCAAGGTCCCTTCCAACCCAGGCCATTCCAGGATCCACGGGAAAACTGCAATATCACCATGTGAATGAGCAAAGTTTATAAATATAGGAAAGTTTGATAACACTTGAGTTTTGTTGATGTATCTATTAATGATTGTTAGATCATGTGGGGAGATAACAGGACAGATAGGAAAATGGAGTTTGTCCCCACACTTATTTTTATTTCTTTATTTATGCTCATGTACATGTCTATCATGTTTATATAGATATGTGTATTATTTTACATATGTTTATGGGTGAGGCACACAATCTTTATGAATCTGCCAGGCTCTGGGGAGATTTAATTCCTCAATGGCACAGGGAGCAGGACAGAGCAACAGGGAATAAAAAGGAACACGAGAAGGACAAATAAAAAGAGTGGTAAACACACAGGAAGGACAGAAGGATACAAAGAGGGAAGCAAGGACAGAGAGAGAAATGATGATTCCAATGCATATCATGGTAGGCATTGGTGTAGTGTGGGGTGTTACTGAGTATTACCTAAATGGGTGCTTTAAGTGAGAGGGCCTAATTCTAGGAAATAAAACTGTTTGTCTGTCCCACATAAGTTACAAATGTCTCCAGTGTTGTGGTGTTGTCCTTTGGTTTGTATGAGTGAGTTTTCTTGTGCTACTGACTTAAATAAAACAACTGCAAAATACTGGCATAATTTAGCTCCACTTTACAGTGTTTTAGAATTGTCATTTTTTCATATGGTCTCATTCTCTCAGAGCAAAGTTGATAACAATTACAGTAGATGTTTTACAGTGTTGAATGCTTTTTTCTTCATTCCTGTCAACAGTTACTTCTCCTGTACCATCCCTTGTGATGGTTTATGTGGGCTGGTTTGGCTTTTTTAAAGAAAATATTTATGGCCATTTTTGTCCACAGTGTTTCTGCCTTTTACTAACATTTTCCAATTAATTAAACCTTAAGTTTATTCCTTTATATTATACATATGTATTTTTTTCTATGTATAATAATCTTTGTTATCTGATAATTGTATTTCATGTTAAATCCCTCCTCATAATTTTCATATGTTTTTCACCTTCAGTCCATGACCTTTCGGTGCCTTATTTTTATTTATTTTGATAAGTTATTTGCCTCATTTCTTTTCATATCAATACAACCTTACTAAACCTGTCCAGAACTTACCGTATTGCTTGTGAAATTCTTCTGTGGGTAATAATGGACTCATTTTGTCAGTGAAACCTTGTTCCCATAGGAAGCATTACAAAGGCAGAAGCTCAGCCCCAAAGGCAGAGGAGCTTCTTCCCATGGCCCAGCTCCTGCTGCCCGCACCTTTGGGTGCTGCTGAGGAGCACCAGCAGATGGGGCCGGAACGCTGCGAGCGAGACTTGGGAGCGGGAATGTAATTTTTCATTTGTGAAGGGTAAAAGCACAGTGGTGCCAAAAATCCCTGCTAGTTCACTCCAGGCTCTGCAGGCTGGTTGAGGACTCTGGGCACTGGGTTCTGGTTTCCCCTAGCACTGACCTACCCCACAGATGCACTCTGAAGCTGGAAACCATCAATAAGCAAAGTTTGCAAAAAGCCAGACTCAGGGGGCAGGACTGTGGGCAGGGGGAGAGGCCCAGGCTGTTCATTCCCAGCCTCTCCTTCCCCTGCCATGGTGGGGACAGAGTGGAATCACACCTGCCTGTGGCTCTGTCAGAAATGGCTGTGCCCACCCGTGGCCCTGCCCTGAGGGTGCCTTCAGCAGCACAGGAAGGGCTCCAAGGCCTCGTGGTAGCCACTCCTCTGCTGCCTTCAGAGCTGTACTTGGAAATGTGCAACATTAGCAAACCACTTAAAATGGGGCGTTAAAAAAGCTTTGCAGTGGTTAGGTGAACTCAAAGAAAAAAGTCTGCACTTTCTGATGTACCCCTTACCTGTCCTTTCCTCTTGCCAAAGCTGCTGGATGCTGGATTGGAGGTGTATCCGTATTCCCCAGGAGAAGCTGAAGATGGCACACAGGAAGCAGTACAGATAACCTTGAGGCTCCCTGATAATGTGATTTATTTTCAAGCACCTGTGGTAGCCCGATGGGATCCTGCAGGTATGAACTTAGGACATAAATTTATTTTAAATTTCAATAGTGGAATTTATACTTGAGTTGGACTGCTGTTACAATCCAGCTGTAAAGATAAGGGCCAACTTGGAACCCAAAAATAGTTTGGGAACTTGAATGTTAATTGATTCGGGGATTTTAAGTTTTTTTTTATTATTACTTTTTTTGGTTTTGTTTACTTCAGCATTACTAGCAGAAGCCTTCCATGTACATCTTTCCAGCCTCTTTGTCCAGGCCAGCAGTTGAGAACTGATGGCATCAGAAAGATAGCCTATGAAGCAGAAGAAAAGAGCATCACCTTTAGCATGGGTGCCTTTCATACAGTAGCCCTCCTCCAGGATGCTCACCTGAACCTGCCCTATCAGGCCTGGGAATTGCACCCTGCTGGTGTGGATGAAGGACTCTTCACAGTTACTGCAGTCTTTGCAACCATTCAGATACAAATTAAGGTACTGTCAATAATATTTTAATCATACATTTGCAGTTAAAAAACCCCATTTTTATTACAGTGTCCCTGATTAAGAGTTTGGGATGCTTCCACAAGAGCAATTAGAATCTCTCTTCCTTTCCAAGCACGGCCCTGGTTGTTTAATTTCAGTTTTTTACTATGAGACAGCACCTGTGCATTTGCTCTGCAAAGTTTCAGTCAGAGTTTTGCTGCTGGTTTTGCCTTGCTGCATCCAAGCCTGTTCCACCTGTTAGAGCTGAAAAGGGTTCCTCTCTCCTCCCAGCTCTACCAAGAGAAATACAGGGATTTCTAGCAGCCTACTACTAACGCTCCTTGTGTCTTCTCCAAGTTCAAAGCTACTTGTGATTATCCATCTGTTCATTAGTGCATACATCAGTGCACCAGTGTCATTTCTGATTCCTAACAAAGCTGGCTTTCTTAGGATCTGTAAATGAAAGGTCACAGCCCAGAGTAGCAGATGATGTGGGTAATACCCAGCATAGCAAAAATATCAATATCTGAAGCCTAAACCAGAAAGGAGCTTCCATGACCAGTAAGTTGCTTTCACTGGTTTGTACAACAGGATAATCAGTGTATGTTGTCTTCAGTAGTGGTGGAAGAGGAGGAGGTGCTTTCCCACATCGCAGGAAAATGGATGAGTCCTTTTGCCCTCAGAGCAGCTTTGAAAAGAGCTGGAGTGAACATTTTCCCAGCAGGGCACTCTCCCAAGTATGTCCCTGTGCCCGGAGCGAGTCGTGTTCAAGGTTTGTGCAGCCCCACCAAAGGCCCAGAGCAGAGCAGCACTGACCCTTCCCAGTCAGACAGGAACAATTCACTCACCCGGCTGGCTTCAGCCCCTGCCCCAGCTCAGTGTCACAGACTGCCCCGGGAGCTCCCGGGGGACACAGGTCACAGCCACAGAGACGCTTGCTGAGGAGAATGGAGCTGGTGAGGCACCGAGGGAGGCTTTAGCTAGAGCTGGGGTGACAGAGCTTCATGCTCTTCAGAGGCCCCTTGAGAATCGGCACTGTGCTCTGCCAGCTTTCTGAAGAACAGCTGGGACTGCCTGCCTGCCTGCAGGGTTTCTTTTGCTCCCTGCTGCAAAGGAGGGAATAAGCAACCTCAGTGCTGGTTTGTCTCCACCTGTGAGCTAAACACATGGTTAAAACTTCTCCCAGCCAGACAAACACTCCCAGGGGTGGCTGGAGAAAGGTGACACCCCACTGCTGAAGGCTGCAGTGGCTTTCTCGCTCTCAGGTTAAATGCATGTGACACACAAAAATTAGAATTTGTACTCTGACCACAGCACAGGCTTCACCTCACCTTGCATTTCTTCCTACAACAGGCAAGGGAACATCTCACAGCGGGTTCTGCCAAAGACAGTGACTGGTCTCTTTTCATGTTGGACGGTGAGAAGGTACAAAACCTCAAGCTCACTGAGACCAGTGAAGCTTTTTCAGAAGAGCTGGAAGAAGAGTCTGAATTTCACTCCACACTCTACCATATGCTCAAGGCTTCTGCCAGCAGTGAAGCCATGGATAAAGTGGAAAGACCTGGCTTCCTGTTTGTTGATTCTGTGTATCAGCTGCTCCTTGCTACCAGAGTTTTAGCATACTCTTAAATACTGCATGCTTTCTTTTACAACTTTATTATCAAAAGCTTTCAGTAAAGTTACATTTCAAGTCTTAAATCCTTTTCTATTCAAAACATTGAAACAGGTTCTGAAATGCAAACATTTTATCTTTGTTCAAGCAAAATAAATTCTTATTCAATTGTGGCTAGACCACCTAGACACGTTTATTGTTAGCTACGTTCAAAATTGCTGTTCTGTTGTAAACCTCTACAGAACTGAGACCCTTTTAGCTACTTTTAAAGATGACTTTTGTCAGAAAGGGAAAAATATATATTTTTTTATTTCAAGTCATGCTTTAAAGAAAAAAACCTCATCTCCCCCCCCCCCCCCAAAAAAAAATACCCAGAATCCAACAAAACAAATCCAGACGTGTAACCTTAAATAATGCTTCAGCTCCTGGCAGCAGAGCCGGGGTTATACCGGGGGAGGGCCGTTGTGTTGCAGTCGTGTGTAGGGCCACAGCAGCTGCTGCAGCGACCTCCACGAGTCCCCAGTGCCCACGGGGGCTGCATCTGCTGGCCTCTGCAGGGACAGCCCCGTCAAGAAGCTGGTGAGAGCAGCCAGCAGGACCAGGATGGACACGGACACCCAGAGGGTTTTGTTAGCGTTGCAGAAGGAAGCCTTCAAGTGGGATGCCCACGCTGACATGGAATTGCACCTGGGCAGGAAAGCACAGAGCCCTTCAGTATCTCCCCAAAAAGTGCAACTCTTCCCACCCTACCCCAAAAGGCCTTAAAGGCAACTAGATCCCACAAACATGGAAAGCGACAGGTTGTTATGGGAGCTTTGCAGGGGGAGCTTCTGTTCTGTGCTTAAAATACAGTCAAGGAAGCAAATTCTTGATAAGCTCACCCATCCAGCCATGCTTCCTGTACTTCACACTGCTTCTGAAGAGGATTCACAACTGCTGCCTTGCAAGAGCAGCAAGAAATCTTACTCACAGAAGGCACTGGAAGTCCTGGCCTTTTGTTTGAACCCTCTTCCCATGTGCACTTCCCAAATATGGCTTTAACTTGTGAAAGAGACTTACATTGACTCCAGGGTCCATTTGGGTGGGTATTTTCCTTTTTCAGAGACACTTTCCTTCCTAGTTGGTTGTTCCTGTACTTCAGCAGGTGATTCCAACTGCTCACTCCTGTAAACAAGAATCAACAGCTCCAAAGCTTTGCCAAATTCCCAACAGCTTGGCTTTATAACCCTGACCCGGTTGGTGAATTAAAAGCTCATTAAAAACTAAACCAGTGCGCCTGGGAGGAGGCTGCTGCCGAACTTACTTGTTTTCAAAAGGCTCCTCTTCATACTCTGCCCAGGAATAGGTGCTGAGGAACCTCTGCAGCGAAGGACGCTTCTCGTTCTGCTTCACCCCTAACCTGCCCCTGCCATGTGTTAAACAAATTTGTCTGATTTTACCCAGCAGATAGAGAGCAGAAAATCAGAAATTTAGTAGCAGCCTACTCATTTGGCTGACCTCAGACAAATAACTTACAAATTTAATTGCTTGAAGTTAGGATCGTTTAAAAAAAAGCCAAACAAAACTACACATCCATGCGCTGTAGATATTTAGATTTCACATTTTAGTTCTAAAGCAAAAAATATGAGGGATTTTTTTTTAAAGCTGTCAATGCTCAATAAATAAAAAAGGTGAGCTCATAAAGCTCATTTACCTATTATAGCACATAAAACTAGTCTGAAAAGTATAGCCTAAACATTATTATACACCACGATGCTCCGTAAACTGCTTACTACAGGCACAGTTAGAGTTGAAAAATATTTCCCCCATTCAAAGACATGCCCAGGTGACTTTACCAACTGCTTGATCTCCTGCTGAATCTGTCACTCCGTTCGTCCCCATCAGCTTCGTGGAACTGGGCCTGGAGGAGAAACTTGCCACATTTACTGCACTGGCACATTCTGATGCTTCATCCCTGCCAGATTTGGGGAGGTGAAGCACCTCAGCATCCCTCCAGCAGTCCCTACTTACCAGTGGTACCCCAATCCCTGCATTCCCAGCACTCCTGGGCACTGCTGCAATGCTAACTCTCCGCAGGGCTGACGAGGGCTATACAAATAAGAGGCATTACTGGCTCTTAGCAAGGCACAACTGGGTTACCCACTGAGCACACAAAATACCATCTGTTTTGTGCAAGCTATATTAAAAATAAGAGATGCTGACACTTAGCGTGAAGTGACACACAAAGAATCCAAATTCAAGTGCAGATCAAATCAGATCAAATCAGATCTTTCAAGCAGCATCTTTCCACAGTAAGTGATTTCTGCCCACCTGAGTGAGGCTGGCTGCACAGCTTCCAGCAAAACACCAACATTGAAGGTAACTAAATTCCCCTAATTGCTCACAGGAATTCCTACATTCAGTTTGAGCTGCTCCCATATTTTTGTGCTAAATCCTCCTTTAATTCTAAGAGAACCACAAATTAACAATATTTCTTAACCAGTGAATGAGAGCCCAACCCTTTCACCTTCATCTTCTAAGGGGGACCTCTGAGAAGGTTGGTGGGGTGCCTGAAAAGTAGAATCTTATGTTTGATGACACCAGCCCATATTTGTGACAGAAAAACACTAAGTCAAGCATGCAGCACAGCACCAGCACATAAAGCAAAGAAAAACACACATGCTTAAATTTTGAAGTTTCATGTAAGGACTATTACCTTAAAATTGAAAGGACCTGGTAGCTTCTTATTAATGGATTCATCTGTGAAGAGATCAAACATCAGGGCATTACAGGAGAAACTTGCTGCTTACAGGAGTGGAGCGAGTTTAATTTGCAGCTTAAGGTCTGACTTTCTGCAGTGTTTATTTAAGCAAAGCACACTCATAAAGCAGAAACGAGGTCTCAAGGAAAAGCTTCCTATTTCATTAAGTTGGTAATATTCACACATTACCCATCCTCTCTAAGCATCAACTTCTGTCACCATCATAAAATATATTCTATTATTGAGGTAGTGTCCTGTTACAGAACTGTCTTTCACAGTCAGGACTGTAATTCAAAAGGCTCCTGGCAAGGATTTTATGATGTGGAAGACTTCCTTTTTGGTGTTTAAAAAACACATGCTATTTTTCAGAAGAATTTAATACTTCTCTGACAAAGGTACAAGTGCACAGCACTGGCTGCAAACCTGGATGCTTAGAAGGGAAAATACAAAAAAATTACAAACCCCTGCACTTAAGGGGTTTGTAATTCCTATGTAGAAAAGGGGAGGGTGCAGCCGTAGAGAGCAGCCAAAGCTCAGCTAATTAGAAATAGCTACTGTGAACAAGCACCCAAACCTACTGCTCACAAGGAATAAAATTACCACCAGCATACTCCATGCACGTTTGCTGCAAGCCAGGACATTCCTGTGTACTTGCAGTGGTCCCACACACACCCCCCGAGATCCACGACAGATTAAGCACAAATTCAACTTCAGAAAGCTGAATAGTGTTAATATTAATATGAATAGTGTTAGTTATTAATATTAATAATATTAATAGTGTTAATAGTTGGCTGTTTTCTCCCCCCGCTTTTTAGAAGGGGGGATAAAACAACCATATAATTCTATCACCTAAGATGTGGAGGGATTATACAACTATTCTGCAGCTATAAGGGTTTGTCTAGCAGGTGCTAGCAAGGAGAAAGAGGCTTTTTCTGGTTACCTCTATCTCCAAGGGAGCTGAAGGACCTCTCGTTCTGGAGTAGGACCTGCTTGAGCTCCTCGAGCTCGGCGTGTTCTTTGGCATACATGCGCTTCAAGTTCTCCACGTGCTGGATCATCACCTCCACAGCTTTGCTCACCCGGCTCTCCTGAGGGAACAGGGAAAGCAGCAGCTCTCAGGAGCTGCCTCATCTTTGGAGATTTCCCCCTTAAGCATCTGCTCTCCTCTGCTAATCTCACTTTTATCCTCCCTTTCAAAGCTTCACTACAGCCCCTGTCCTGGCACATGCTACACAGGTTTCATTTCTCTGTTGTAAACTAAATAAATCAGTCTTCAGCTTTCCAAGCACTTGCAACTCATCATCTCCTCTGATCTACAGTCTCAGCTGCCACCATGCATTTGCTGGTATTGCCAAGTCATATTTTTGTACTGATCTGGGGTGTTATACACAACTACACCTAACATTTGAGCAGGGCTTTGTGACTTTTCATAGACTTAGCTGATTAGCTGCCCTTTCCATAAGGCACAGAACCATCTTTGCAGCATCAAGGCCATTGTTACCACACTGCTTGGTATTTTGTACATCTCACTGCTGAAAAGTCTTTATTATGTTTTTTTTTTCCACCAGTACCTAATTTCTGCTGTGGGTTTTTGTGCAATAGTAGTGAAGCATAGCTGCTCTCAGTGCCTGGGATTCCTTATGAGGACACAGATTGAGAAGAGAAGGCCAGGACTAAGCTGTCCTGACCAGTTACACACACCAGATTCCCAAATCCAATCCTGGAACCATAAGCCCAGAAAGCAGATGTGGCTATCCCTTTGCAACTAAAAGTTTTTAGGTTTGTACCAAGTACTTTTAGATGGAAAGTGTTACCTGATTAATAGCTCCCAACATCTCTGCTCTGCTGGCAACTCGAGCTGCGTATTGGCTAAGGAACTGCAGGCTTTTCTGCAGCTTCTTAATGATCTCCTGTGCCTGGTTATCTTCTTCACACAAAGGAACTAATGCCTAAGAGCACACATTGGTAAGAAAATTGGTGTGAATTACTAACAGAGAATGAAGGGTTGAGCTGATGACACTGAGGAGCTGCGTTCAGGCCCACATCAACATCCTTAATCAGTGTGACTTGGATAGAGAGCTCCAGTGGGCAGAGACTGGAGCATAAAAGCAGTTGAAGCAGAGATCAGATGTTTGTGCAACAGAAAAATTCTCCACTGCCTGAGCACGCAATGCATTTGGATCAAGGTTATCCCTTGTAATTCTCTTTTATTTCAACTGCATTGCTCCAGAACTTCATTCATATTTGCTCATCATGTATCCCATGCACACATCCCCCCTTTAAAGAGCTGTTTTAAGACTCTCACATCTACTTATCCCATCCACCCTACCAGCCCTGGCCTCTACTGACCTCTAACATATTCACAGCATTTGTGATCTCCTTTTTCAAGTTTTCTTCAGCCAGGTCTCGGGACCTCTCTTCAAGCTTCACTCTTTTG